CCTGGATTCGGATTCCTGCAGGTTGTTCGGGGCTGCAGCATCTGGGACACTGGGCGCATCTTGTTGGCAGCTCACCGTTTTGATCCTACCTTGTTAAGGTAGCCACGCATCCTCAGCCCGCTCTGCTTCTGATTTTAAATAATAAATAAAATAATTCTTAGAATTATCCCACTGTTTGTCTCGCCTTGAATACTGGGTCTGTTTGTCCCGTTTATGACAGATACCAGTGTTATTGGCCTAATTTCTTCATTTTATCTTAACTTAAACGTTTTTGCCTAATTGTAAAGACACTTAATTTCTCTATTAAAATCGTTGCATTTGGATTTTAGATATAAACAAAAACATAATGTGTAGTTTTTAGATAAAAACAAACACGCACACACGCACAGACACACACACATAGGTAATGAATATTTTATATATATATATATATATATATATATATATATATATATAAATATTCATTACCCATAATTGATCGCATTCAAAATCGTGTGATAGTATAGTTGTTTAAACTTTAGTGAAGAATTAGGACTGTAAATGTGTTGTAAACTGATGATAAAGCTGAGTGGTTATCTGGGCCTTGTTGCCATGCCCACCATGCTTCTCTCCCACTTCTTACCATTGGCTCCAACCCCAGCCAACAACCAGGAAGCTGTCTGAGAGAGGCATATTTACATATCCTCGACTTGACCAGGGCTGAGCAGCATCAGTCTATTATTAGCTCCAGGAGGAAGTTTGAAGTGAATTGTGTCTGGAGTCGACAAAGGCAGAAGCACCGGAATGAAGTATTCCCAGAAAGACTATTGATGACCTTTTGTGACCGGCCATATGAAGTTATGGAAATTAACACTTTTGATTTTATAAGCATCATAAAACACAACTGCTGACAAAATGCTGTATTGACAAGGCTCTCAAAAAAGTATCTACAGCAGATAAGGTATTGGCTGTTCAATACACCCCCCCACCCCCCCTCAAAAAACAAACCCTACTACAATATTCTAAATTGTCTCTTAAGAAGTTAAATAGTGTTTTTTCTCCTGCACCTTTTCTGTTCATGGATCTAAACTGACCTGATTCCTTCTTTTAAGACCTGATTAACTTGAAAACCCAAGACACTGTCAGTGGAAATTTCAGCAAGCTGATTTGTGTCGTCTGTTCTAGCAGGGAGAAGCAGCCAAAATCAGATCTATAAATTATTTAGTAATCCTAAGTAAGTATACCAGCTGTCTGTTCTGCCATCTCTTATGAGTGAACTAATTTTATTTTCTTGTGATCATCCAGGATCCCTTTTCTTAAAAACAACCTAATCACTCCGATAATTAGTTTGTTATATGGTTGTTTTTTAGAGGTTCTGTTTTCTTATGCCTATAGAATAAAAGATATTTATGTCATAATGCTGTAAATAATCTTCAGGCATACCAAGGAGGAATCTGTACAGTTTTATTGCATCAAATCAATGGTATGCTACAGTACCACATCATCATTGTCTTTTTGTTCTGCTGAGGGACTGAACATTTGAAGCCAGTTTCCTGACTCCTTTCTGGTTGCAAAAGTTCATCAATCGTCGTTTTGGGAATGCTTCATTCCGGTGCTTCTCCCTTCGTCGATTCCAGACACAATTCACTTCAAACTTCCTGCTGGAGCTAATAATAGACCGATGCTGCTCAGTCCTGGTCAAGTTGAGGATATGTAAATATGCCTCTCTCCTTCATGTGGACAACGTCCTGGTTGTTGGCTGGGGTTGGAGCCAATGGGATAAGGAGTGGGAGAGATCATGGTGGGCATGGCAACGAGATCCAGATGCCCACTAAGCTTTATCTTCATTTTACATTACAAGCACAGGCCTGTACGCTACTCTATTCCCAAGAGCCTGTTTTTTCTAAGCCTAAAGCTAATCATGGGTATACTATACAAATAAACACAAATTATATTATAAACATCTCCTGATTCTTTTAGGTTAGTTTCTCTTTTTCTTAGAGATACTTTGCTAGGATCTGTGAGCCTGAAATGTCGAGTGCTGAACCACTTTATATTAAAACAAACCTTTTAAAGGTTTTATAGATACTTTATAATTAAGTCATCAGCTTTGTTCTAAACAACCAAACATATGATAGGGGAAGTCATCCTCGATTTGTTTGTGAGAATCCTATTGAAGCTCCTACTCTGGCATAGAGGGTTAATTAGGCTGATGTTTAAAGTTTGTTTCAAAGTGTAAAGTGTGAGATTGTGTCAGAACTTTGCTCTTGTGCCATGATTGTTTTATTATACCATGTAGATTATTTATTACAATTTATATACTGTATAAAGGTGGTATCGACTTCTCACTGTGTAATAACAATAATGTATTCAATAGGACAAAGGTATACAAACCAACATGAAAACTGTATAGTAAAACTAAATGCTTTTATACATCATGGGGTGTAATTTTATTTATTTTTAAATATACTCAAACAAAAATACAGAACAAACTTTTACAGGAGACTTTTGAAGGAGTTTTCAAGTGATTGTTAGTTTGCTAAATGTTATACTTTTTTGCTGTTTCTTCTTTATAGAGAAACACAAGCATTCAAAGTCAATAGTGGCAACTTTATTAAGAATCGATGGGAAGCTTTGCATGTTCTCTGGCATTTGACTTTAAAATGCAAAAGCTGTATGAGTAAAAACTTTAGTTCTTTAAAAGCGTAGCATTTAAAGGATAAGTCTGGTCACATTCAGAATACAAACTTCTAAAAGTACTTTTTATATTAAATTATTACATATTGTTCAATTAGTGATACGTGTTTTTAATTAAGAGTAATTTCATTTGAATGTGCTTTACTGCATCCATGTTCGTCAAAGAACACTACTGCCACCTATCAGTTTGTGACGTCACGGTGCGGTATCGGCTGTTGATCCAGTCCCAATGCTGTATCTGGAGTTTGTGACAATGCGCTTTTATCCAAGTCATCTTGAAAAATATTCTCCTTCAAAATGTTGGCTACATATTACATGTTTTTTCTCTAGCCGGAAGTTCGATGGCAAATCCTCCCTCTTCAAGTTGGTAATCCAACGATGAACCTGTCTGTGGTGGATCATGTAAAGGTGAAATAACATTTTTTTTTTTCAATTTTACCCAATGTATTACAACATCAAACTGCCATGCATTGTCACTGTAACAATAGCTTTCATGAATTTCAATGGTCAAGTCCTCTCGAAATCTTAAATAATTGTTGTTGATTGGAGATGGGTCTAGTAGTTCCCATTGATTTTGCGTGTAAAGAGGGGAGAATGGTTTTCGAGTTACCACGCTGTGACGTCACTGCCGGATGATGTCAGGAGTGAGGTGTTACTATATTTGGGCAGAAATGGCAGTTCCCAAACTCAGTTTTTAATGATTAACGCCAAATAAATTTAATCACCTTGAACGTATTAGTTTCAGGTATAAATAATGATCCATTGATTATTCCTTGCTGACCGGACTTCTCCTTTAAAGCAGCATTACAGTGTTTTTTGTTTATGGCAAAAACATTGAACTGCAGTACTCTTATGCTTTTTTTTTTTTTTTTTCTTACCTGGCATTGCATTTGTTGTCTGACTGGATCCCAGTCACTTTTTGAGTATCCTGGTCAATCCATCTTTTTATTCTAGGTTGGACTCATTTAACATGGTAAATAAATAATAAATAAGCAAAATAGGTTACATGCCTAAAGATGCATCGGTGCTGTACCACTGAGGTTTAAGTCTGCTCATCAAACAATGTTTTAGTCTTAAAGGATCAACAAAAAGGCTATATTATAGATAGTTTCCTGTGAAATCACAAACTCTCTCTTTGAGACTTTGGAACTGTTAACAGGCCAATATAAACCTACATCTACTGATTTTATATGTATATATATATATTCATACATTAGCCTGATTGCATTAATAAAAACCTGCAAAACATTGCATCCAGCCCTCTACTATTTTCATATTGCATACACAGTTGTTATTCGATATGCTATCTAATTAGCACAAACCACCAAAATTATGACCATACATGACCATCTCATTCTCCAGAAAGCTCATTTTCCGACACATTAATTTATCTTTAATCTATTGGCTTTTTAGTCAGATCCCTGTTAAGATCACGAGCCTTTAATTAAATGTAACATTCTCATGCAATGATCTCAGTCTCAAGAGTAAAACTTGGAGGCAAAATAAAATTATTCAAATTTTATTTGCTCTGGAAGATCTAGTGCTTTGTTTCTCAGCTACTTAATTTCCCTTATTATTATTTGGGCTTCTGATGTTTTATTAAGGTGTTCATTTCAATTATACACAGGTTTTTAAATATTCTGAATAAGACTAATCATATTTTAAAATCTGCTGCGATAAAGTAGTTTGTTTTGCAGCGGCGTTTTTTTTTTTTTTTTGTACATTTGAAGAAGTACATTTTAATTCTGAATCAAAGCTCCACACTTTCATATAACTCCTGTGCTCATGTATGTCACAATTCAACCACCTTAAAATAGCCCCTCTCTCAGTTTGTAAATTAAGTGACAAAGTGTGGTACAAAGGGAAAAATCGCTATGACAACCTCAACGCCTGATTGCGATGATGTGCGATCCCAGTGAGTTTCTTAGCCTAACTTAAGGCACGGATGCAGAACTGGAACTGCTGCATTCATGCTTGGGGGCTTGTTTTATTTCATGAGAGAATTCACAGTGAGATGTTAAAGTATTTAATTTATTCTATAAATATAAGATTAAATGTTGCAAAACCAACCATGCTGACTACATTTCAATTTCAGTACTGAATGGACAAAATAAATAATCTTTCAGTTGAGTCTGCACTTGTGTTTATATTTGCAGCAAAACATAAATTTTTAAGCTGTTGATTGATGCTTTGCATTAAGATGGTACTTTGCTGCATTTTCTTTAGCTGATAAAATGCTTCCAAAGAGTTTGACAGGCAAATTAGCTGGAAACTGCCATTTTGACAAAGCTGAACTAGAATTGAGTCTGTTTTCGTTACTGCAGGTGAAAAAAAGCTGGCCAACAAGGCGGCACTGTGGTATGTCCCCTGTTCTCTGCAGAATGTTGACAAGATCACAGAGGTGCCTCCTATTAAGGTATGTTAAAGTCTCTGGCTATCAGCTTACAGGTATTGTTTAAGACTTACAAACTGGGGTTTTGTTATATAGTAAGGAGAAGTAATTATCGTGACTCTAGCAGGTAGCGGGTTTATCTTAAATAGTAAGGGGTTTAGAGAGAAGCACAGCCCACAGTATTACAGAACAGGCACCATTTAGAGAAAAATCTCTTTTCAGACCTCATTAAAGATTTTGTAGTTTAAAACTTTCACCTTTACATGAAAAAGGTGTTTGTTTTTATCCATAATTTTTCAACCCATCAGTGTTATAATGGTCACTGTTTACAGTAAGTTAAATATTCAGAGGTTGAGAAATTAGTTATTTTGTATAATGTGGTTAATGTCTTCTTAAGGCCATATTAAAATCAAATTTGTGTTTGTTTTCACAAACTATTGACTTTCTTGTAACATCTATTTTGAGCCTGGACCAAGTAATTCGTTTGGTCAGATTAGTTTCTGAAGGTTCGGTCCACAATCCGCTACCAGTGACAAAAGACAACTTGCTCAATAATATAATCCTGAAAATAAAAAAAAGAACATCAGTGTCATTTAAAAGTACTGACCAAACAAGTGACTAAAAAACAAATCTGTTTTGAAACAGGCTAGTTTTCACTGTGGGTAGTTTTTCTTCTCTCTGACAGTTTCTCCCTGATTTCCCTGAAATTTCACTTGCATCTGAGTTTAAGCCTGTTTTGTTTTTGCAGTTTATGCTATTCAAGATGTTTACACCAGAAATAAAGATTCTCCTCTGCAAATGAAACAATTATAGTTACATGTTTGTGGTTTTTGTTATATCTTGATAAAATTTAAGCAGACATAACACTTGAATACAGCAGTGCGTACATAGGTTTTTACTGTGTGTGTTCTGTGTTGTATCTAGTACGCTAGTCCAGAGCAGGAAGAAGAAGGCAGAAAGCGCTATGAATCACAGAAAATTGAGAGATTGGAGACCAAAGCGAGGCTTGAGGAGGCAATGCCACCTCCACCAAATCCAGGTACTGTGCAGCTGTCTACTTGTTCAAACTTATACATCTGAATTTCAAACAAAGTCTGGAAAAAATCTACAATTTAATTTGATTATCTTCAATATTTAAATAGAAGAATATTGAAATATACTATTTCAAAAACACATTTTTAAAAAAATGTTTCTGGAAATGTTAGCCGTTCCTTGTGTCCTGTATCCATTCCTGTTTGCTGATATTCTTTCCTTTTTTCCCTGAGTCCATCCTCTTCTACTTTATCTCTTAATTGTCTTGTTTTTTTCCACCATTCGTACATTTTCTTTCTTTCCTTCTTTCCTTCTTCCAGCTAAGTTAATTATGAACTTTGGTATTGTGATATCAGCATAAAGTACTGAGAACTGTGGGAAGTTGTATTTAAAAAAGTATTGACTTGTTAGATATGAAAGGGGTATTAATCAAGTATTATATTACAACTTAGAAATACTATATAGTTCCTCTGCTGATATTCAGTAAATACAACATTTTTGATCAGTGTTTTCAATTATGGTAAGATAAAAAAAATGATATGAAAAACACTGTTCTGCTAATGTTTCTGTCACTTCCTTTCCCAAGTTACTTGTAATACTCTCCACTGCATCTGTATTGTGAAATAGATAAACATGAGAAAATATGGTGAACTGTTTATACTTTGTGATCCGTTTTTTTTATCTTTATTATTAGAAAAGAAAACAAAGATAAGAAAAATGAAGGGAAGGGGCACTGAAATATTCTTTTAAAGGTCTCAGTAACAGATGCTCTTTTAACAGTTTTATTCTTTATGTGTGCAATGCAAATTAATATTTTCTATTTGTGCGACTGATTTAAAATATTACACCATTCTCATTTTTGCTGAGCATAGAGGACACACCCAAAGGTAAGCAAACTATATACTATGTTTAACAGTATTGGTTAAAACAATTGTTTTTTTGTTTTTTTTTAACACTAAATAAATTATTATTATAAATATAATTTCATAAATTATGTTCATTATACATTTTAAGTATTCATACTGAACAAAAAAAAACAAACAAACAAAAAAAAACAGTATGTACAGCAAATATTTTAACATAACCTCTTAATATGGTGTTCTCATTAAGGAAATTCCTTAATTTTCAAATATTATAACCTCAGAAATTAAAGGTATACATAACCAAATAGAATGGATATCATAATTAACATTATTGGCTGTCCAGCCAGCATCAACAATAACTGTATGCTTTTTTTGTGAAAATAAAGGACTTTGGTAAAAGCCCAACAAGACACAGCATGAGATTTGGCAGGAGTCTCTGTCTTATAGCAGACTCACAGACCCCACACTCATACCACCACAATGCCTCAACGTTTTAACACTATTAAAATATTAAATCTAGTCATGAGCAGAGATGGCAAAAGTACTCACTTTCCGTACTTGAGTAAAGTACAGATACTTGTGTTAAAAAATACTCTGGTAAAAGTGGAAGTACTGATTAAACTTCTTTACTCAAGTAAAAGTAACAAAGTACAGGCTTGTAAATTTACTTAAAGTATAAAAGTAAAAGTAGAAACCACTTTTTTCATGCCGTTGCCTACATTTTAAATGGATGTCTGCCAATAGGACTAGATCTCCGTTGTGTTCATTTTCAATCATCTCGTCGTCCATACTACTATGCTAACGCCACCGCCACCAAGCTGCAATGATTTGCCGCGAATGAATACCGCCGAATCTGTCGATTCATCTTGTAGTGGTGCGTCAAATGCAACGTAGATTCTCATCCAATTAGACTGAATTTGGTATTGATGACGTGAAAAATAATAACGGTAACTCCATTGAAATGATTCAAAACTAAAGTAACGAGCCAATTTTTTAAAATGTAAGGAGTAGAAAGTACAGATATTTGTGTAAAAATGTAAGGAGTAGAAGTAAAAAGTTGCCATAAAAATAAGTAGTAAAGTAAAGTACAAATATCAGAAAAATCTACTTGAGTACAGTAATGAAGTATTTGTACTTCGTTACTTCCCATCTCTGGTCATGAGGTTGATTTACATTGGTAGTTTGAAGATGGCGAGTGTTTGGTATGTATAAAGAGCTTTGGACAGTATACTGCATTTCCTTATATTAATCACATGCTAATATTTTAGAAGGCATTCTTATAATTGTATTCATGCTTTAGAATCAATGGTGGTTTCAAAGGATGTGTTTAAAGTTGATATTAAGATTTCCATCCTTTATTTCCTTAGAACTTGTAGTTTAGTGTTGAAATCACACAAATCTCTCACACTTAAGGACAATCCAGAATAGTTTTTTTCTTCAAGTAAATAATAATTCTCTGAGAGTTCTCGCATATAAATTTTTTATCTTGACATAATGCCTCATTTTAAGCTATTTGTAAAAGTCTTTGGGAGTTACATTTTATCGTGTTTTTTATATTTGTTTGTAGATCAATAATTCAGTTTTTGAAAAGATTTATGTTTGTGTGTTCACACTGCAGAAAGGTACACAGTTGGCTTCAGCCAGTCTAGCCTGATCCATTTGGTGGGGCCTTCAGACTGCACTCTAGATGACTTCGTCTATGGGGGTGAGTTTACTTACTTCTCGTGTTGCTTTAACAGTTTGATCTGACTGACACTTTGCCAAAACAGCCCAATAAAAACTAAGCATTGCTTTACATGTCTGGAGCATTCAGAGACCTATGGTTTAATCCACCGTTGTAGCTCTGAATGGATCCTTTATGGAGAAAAAGGCAGCTGCCACAGATCCCCTCCACCTGGGCAGTGTACTGCCTCTACGACTGGTGAGGACCAGTAAAAGGTCCTCAGTTGAGATCAAAATCCTCACTTTACTAGTAAAATGCAACAAAAATGTCCTCAGTTTGCCGCAAGTTTAAGTACACACCCACACCCCTCCTAGGGCACAAACAAACAAGATCCCATGTACATAAATACCACTGCTGACAATCGAATAGCCCATTTCATAGTCTGCTCTGGCACAAGCTGAACTTCATGTAAATACCGTACTACATTATTTCCATTTCCATTTTTTTCCTTTGATGTTTAAATCATCTTCGTGTGCATTTAATTTTTCTTTGAGGAATTAAAGAGGTTGTTTAATATTTAATTCTTTTTCTTCTTCTGATGGAGTTTTTATATTCTTGACGGTCTTTTATAAAGATGGATATTTTTCTGTAGGCTTTTCTATTTGTTTGTACTAATACCTGCATTCTGAGCTGGTATCTCAAAAAAGCTTAAATAATGACGAAGACGTTTGATTCAGATTGTTGTCCTGTTGGACGGCAGTTATGATTTAGCCTCAGTTCTCTGAAAGATGTCTAAGACTATTCTGTACTCAACTCCAGGAAAGCTGGTCCCTTTGACCAGTCTTTCTGTCTCTCAGAGCCTAATGATATCACTGTAGTTGGTTATTGGGAGACTGGATTAAGGACTATGTGCACTGTTAGTTTACCATCACAAATAGCTTTTCTGTTTAAGTAAAGACTCATCTGGCCAGATCTTTCCTTTAACAATGGCTTTCTTCTTGAGTTTTTATACTGTACAAAGATTGCCATCTAGTCAACAGATTCTCCCACCTATTAGCCTTGGATCCCCAGCGGGTAGAAATTCTGTCATTGTCTTTTTATTGTTAAATAGCAGAATGAAAAGAGCTCTGTGAGATGTTTAAAGCTTGTGAGTCATTATGCTAGGATGCGTTGACAAACTGACTAAACTTAGGAGGCCCAGGTAGATTGTGAGACTGTCCAGGTAGTCAGCAGCATGGGAGCACACCAGAGGGCTGTACTCTCACTGTCTTTTTTTGTATTCTGTACAACTTCGACTTTCAGTACATAACAGATAGCTGTCATCGGCAAAAATAATTGGATCAGTTTGGTTGTATCAGCGATGCACAAGAAGCCGAGTACAGGAATTTGGTGAACCACTATGTATTCACGTGCACAGTGGGGGCACGTCACTAATCAGAGGCTTGTCTAGAACCACTGTAAAGCCTCCTTTCCACTGAAATTAGTGGATTAACTCGAGATTTTTAAACACAATCAGCATTTGGCTCATTTCCTATTCACAAAAAAAGCTTGGGCTAACCCCCCGCTGGCAGGCTGCGTGGCCTCTGTCCTCCCACTGCTGTGTGTGAAGCATCACACTGGGTTAGCGTTGAAGATGTCACCAGTGCGACAGCGAATGGGAAAGTAAACAATGGAGAGCAGCATGTAAGGAAGCCAAGGCGTAGTAAGTGGGCGTTAACGTTTCACTCTTATATTTCCGAATTCCTCCCACCAGTGCTACACCATGTTTATTGAATGTAAACTGAGTTGTTTCAGCTTGTTAGAACAGATACAAATGGCACGGTGTGTTGACGTCTGTACGTTGCGTTTAATGGTGTCGTTGGGATGGTAGATGCATTAGTGAGCTGTGCCCACTGCCACTAAAAGCCAATTGTTCCTGGGTTTAAACGGGTTTTTCAGCCAGTGGGAAAGGGTTATCAGACAGACCACTACAAAAAACCTTCCTCTCTAAAGGAACCTTTTTTTAACAGCTTGTTAAATAAACCCCTTTAAGGCTTTCAATAACATTCAAATGTATTTTTAAATGTATAAAGTGTTGAATGAAATAGGTCTAAACCTTAGAACATGGAGAACACAAGGGAATCAGACTTAATCAGAGGTGGGTAATCCCAGTCCAGAATGTAAAAACCCTGCCTTGTTTTCCTTCATCCTCTTCACATAATCAGGTTATTAACTACCAGTCTGTGTTGCAAAGTTGGATATTGAAATGGTTGGAATTATTCTTTATGCAGGGTTTTACTTTCTGGACCTGAATTACCCACCTCTAAAGGCATAGAGCAAAGCTTAGTTTTGACTTTACGAGTAAGACTTGACACTCAATCCGAATACAACAAAATGGAGCTCCTAGCTCCTGTTTCTTTACCTTTTTTGGGGTGAACAAAAAGAACACTTTCATGGATAGGATAGGAAGCATTAACTGTTGTGCTGATTTTGAACACCCTTCAGCATTTTGGACATTATTACAGATAGATAATCTTTGTCACATTGGGACTAAAGCCTTCCAAAAAATCAACTACAAAAAATATACAAGTCACTCCAATGTATTGACTGGCTTTGCAAAAAAAAAACAGATGTGAAGGTATGTAGGCATCTGTGAGGCAATTATGTAGTTTTATCCATTTCCACAAGGTACTCTGTACCTATACATCATGCAAAGAATTGTGGGTGAAAGCAAATATCAGGTAACGGAAGCACTTAAATTAATTAAGTGATATTTGATGTAATTCAATCGTTGTCTAACCAAATAAGCAATCCCCTGTTTCTCCTAATATATTTATATTAACTGCTTCATGTTAAGCAAGAAAATTAATGAGGTAAAAGATAAAATTTAGTTTGGTTACTGTTTGCCTTTCTCAACAGAGAAGCACATGAGAAAAGGGGAGAGAAGCACAGTGAAATGAATATAAAGATATGCTCACTGACGGAGCTGAAGTGCCTGAAAATAGAGTTTTCTTTTACATCACTAATGTTTTGGAAGAATCTTAACAATTAAAAATATTGTTTGTTTTTATGTAGTTTAATTGTAAACATTTGGCGTTGGTGGGCTTTATCTGTTCAGTTTATGTACGCTCCATTATGAGAATAGCTGGAACTGGGATGGAGGAAAATAAAGACAAAGGATGAAGGAAAAGGGGCATAGTAGTGTGTCGCAATGAGAAGAGAACAAGATTTTTTTTATTTAATTGTATTGTGCACTTTGCACTTTTTAATGCCTCAGGCTTGCATAAAATATCACAATAAGGCTCGGGGGAATCTTTTACTTTCTTGTAGGTTTCTGATGTCTCAGAATTGTTTATTAAATTAGGTTCAGGGTAGAGAGTATGAGGTTATCGCTATCTTCCCCCTGTCCCTTTGCATCTCCTCTTTATATAGAATTAACTTTATTTAGTGATATATGTCACTAATAACTGCATTTGTGGAGTAGATTGTGTAAAATCATTAAAACAGCATTCATTTTATCAATAGCTCCTCATTCTTGAAGGTCGCTGTGCCTCACTGCAGCTGTGATGGTGCGAGTAGCATATGGCAACAATAAAGGTGAAATATTGACTGCTTATGATTTATTTCTGGAACCCCTCTTAAAAAGTATTTCGCTACCATTTATTTGTTTTTAATTCCTAATAATTTTTAAAAAGATTAAAAACGTATTTTTTGCCAAGTGGGGGGCTTTTTCTCTGGTATTTTAGAATGCCATTTCTAGAAAACAATGATTGCTAACTACTTCAGGGAAGAGAAAGAACAGAACTGAAAAACAATGGAAAATGCAAACTTAACTTGCAAGATAATGTAAGAGAATAACATCAACATCCAACCACATTTGTTTGCAGACACCTGTGCATCCATCAAAAGAAATTCCCATGGTTTTATAACAGAAATTTTAAATCAGTTTTTCCCTAAAAACAAGGCAGATGGGTTCTTAAAGCTTAGGTATATTCTTTATGACTGGATGTTCCTTTCTTATCCTGGCATCTTTGTTGATGTCAGATATGTAAGAGGTCATGAAACAGTGAAGAGCAAGTAGAGAAGAAAGATGTTTATCGAGAGTAAGAGGAGCTGATAAGGACAGGAGACAGGATAGGGAAGAAAGAATGGAAAGAAGGATGAAGGAGAGAAGGATAAACATACTGTCATGGTTGCCTTTTTAATTTGGAGGACACACTTGTAAACATGTCCAATTAAAATCAAATATGGTAAAAGCAAACAGGTCATTTAAAACACACACTCGCTTGCACACGCTGTTGACCCATTCATGCCATTGCTCATTAGGCGATGTACCCTGTTGTTCACTGCTGCTGCTTTTGCTACTCTTATTTTGTTTACATAACCAAGTCAGGTCAGGCAGTCAGGGTGCTCGCTCTCTCTTTTCCTCTCTAAGCATGTCTTGCATCTCTCCACTCTGCGATTGTACTGTAACCGCAGCTTGAGCCAGAGGTTTGGACATAGTCACTAACACATAATAATCCAACCATTCTGATGCTTTGTTTTTTTTCCAGAATTGATTTATTTTTTGCACCTGTTTGTGCCAATGATAGTCATTATTAAAGATTTTTTATAATTACTAAAAAACATATTTTCTCTTTTAACTCTGAAAACCATAAAACAAGTGAAAAACTTTAATTAAAAATCAAGGTTCTCAGACACAAATTTCCTCCCTAAAGCTTTTAGCTAGTGATTATGTTTCATAAATGTTGGAACAGACTAACAAAATAATGTTTAATAATACCTATGATAGATTTTATGCTGATATATATCACATTATGTCATAAATGCTTCAACTAATCTAGAATGGTCTGTGGAAGGAAGGAATAAGGCTGACAATAAATGTGAAATGGTTTTGATCTGCAGACCCTGAGGCAGCTCTGCATTAAAAATAGACATGATTGTGTTAGTGGAAATCGCTGCACAGGCTTAGGAGCACATTACAATTTGTTGTTGCAGTCCACTAATGCAAAACAAACTTTTTTGTACAGCTGCATTCTAAGCTTTAGGTTTTTGAAAAATAC